CGGTCGTGGGGCCTGAACTCTGGGCCTGGGCGCTGTCCCTCAGCTCTTCAGCTCAAGGCTAGTGCTCTACCACTTGAGCCAGAGCGCCACTTCTGGCTTTTTTCTTTTTTTTGCTTATGTGGTGCTGAGGAATTGAACCCAGGGCCTCGAGCATGCAAGGCAAGCGCTCTACCACTGAGCCACCTTCCCAGCCCGTTTTTTGTTTTTTAATATGGAAAGCTTCACGAATGTGTCTTCTCTGTATCTTTCCAATTTTAGTATATGTGCTGCTGCAGCAAGCACACGGCAGCTGTTTATTGGAACACATACAGTCTAAGTCTGTTTTGCACTGATGCGGGGCAGTTACTACAGGCCATACAGTCTGCCAAGACAAAAATATTTACTATGCACAGTCCTTTACAAAAAAAGACTAAGAGGGGCTGGGAAGGTGGCTCAGTGATAGAGTGCTTGCCTTGCATGCATGAGGCTCTGGGTTTGATTCCTCAGCACCACATAAGCAGAAAAAGCTGGAAGCAGTGCTGTGGCTCAATTGGTAGAGTGCTAGCCTTGAGCTGAAGAGCTGAAGGCACAGTGCCTAGGCCCAGAGTTCAGGCCCACGACCGGAGGGGAAAAAAAAAAAAGACTAAGAGCCAGATGCTGGTGGCTCACGCCGGTAATCCTAGCTACACAGGAGGCTGAGATCTGAGGATTGAGGTTCAAAGCCAGTCCAGTCAGGAAAGTGCGTGAAACTCTTATCTCCAATAAACCACCAGAAAACTGGGAAGTGGCGCTATGGCTCAAATGGTAGAGTGCTAGCCTTGAGCCGAAGAGCTGAGGGACACCGCCCAGGCCCAGAGTTCAAGCCCCATGATCGACACCTCCCCCCCCACAAAAAAAAAAAAAGAGAAAGAAATCAAGAAAGAAAGAACTGCTGTGACCAGATCTAGATTACTAGACCCCTGCAACAATTCACAAGTGTATATTGATCACTGAATCTCAGGGGTTAGAAAAAGGCCTGTGGCTAATTCGGCCCTGGGGGGGGGGGGATAGAGTTATCACTAGATGAATCAAACCTGTGGCTCAGAAACCCTGCACTTACGGACACACACAGACACAGACACACAGACACACACACACACACAAGACGTGGCTTTCTAGAGGGCACTTCACCAAAGGGGGTGAGATAGGAGTGGAGGCTAATGAGGCTATTTGGGTCCAGGCTCAAGTCTTAAAAAGCCTCTTGTTCGGCGACCAGTTTGTGCAGAGCTGCAGGTTAACCGCCGGTGGGCGGGAGGTGCTCCGTGGGTCGCCTGTCAGGCCCGAGGGCTTCGGGTATCCCCGTGGTCCGGGGCGGAGGCTGCGGGAAGCGAAGCGGCTGCTCTTTACTGATCCCCGAGTTCGAATCCGCACTGACAGGATTTCACCAGACCCTCGGGACGCCCTGGGGCGCGGGCCAGGGCCCCCACGGCACGCTGAAGCTGTGGCGAGTCCGAGAGGGGAACTGCGGGGTCGGGGCTAACCACGGCGCGGACCCGAGACCGGACCCGACCCGGGAACCTCCGTCCCGGGCCACGCCGCCCGGCTCGGCTGGGGGGGGGGAGGCCCGAGCCGGCTGCACCCGACACGAGCTTCCGCCTCCGTTTCCCCGGGGCGGTGGTGGGCCTCCCGGGCGCCGCCTACCTGTCGCGGGGCCGTCAGGGTCCCATCCACGTCGAAGAGGCAGAGCGCGGGGCCCGACGCCGCCATCTCCACGACCTCCGGGCGCTACAAGACAGGACGCGCTGGCGGCTGGAACTCAAGCCGGAACTCGAACCGGAACTTCCGGGTCCGCCCACCGCCGCAAGGCATTTTGGGAAAGGAGACTCCCGCAGCGACCGCACTGCCTGGGGGCTCACGTCCACCACCGTCTTTGGACTACGAATCCCAAGATGCAGCGCGCGCCAGACGCAACGCCTACGTGTGCGCCTGCGCCTTCCGTAGTTGGCCGGAGTAGGCGGAGACACGTGGGACTTCCTTCCGGTGACGGGCCATGGTAAGAAGTTATTTACTTATACGGAGTTTGTCTCTGAATGGTGGGCTGTAGTTTCGCATGCTTCACAGCTAGGGAGCCTCCCCACTAGACATTTGTTGGATGTATGAGTTACTCTACACCTTTTCTTAGTTGTTTTCTTTCTTCAGGGCCTGGGCGCTGTCCCTGAGCTTTTTGCTCAAGGCTAGCTCTCTACCACTGGAGCCACAGCGCCACTTCCGGCGGGGGGGGGGACTGAGGAATCGAACCCAGGGCTTCATGCATGCCAGGCAAGCATTCTACCACTGAGCCACCTTCCCAGCCCCCCCAGAATCCTATTTATGAAGCATACAGGACAGGAAGCATGTGGCTGGCTTTATCTTTCTCTCCTCAGGCAATCATGATGCCTTTACCAGGTCAGCAAAGGGTTGCTTCTGCAGATGATCATTGCGTTATTAGTGCAGTTGAGTTCCACGAGAGAAATGTCTCCCCTCTCCCGTCCAGGCTGCCCTCCTCCGAGCCCGGCCGATGCTGCGGGGACCCGCCGCTGCTGCTGCCTGGTCAAGGGCCCTCCGTGCGCTCTGGTGCTATGATCCACAGGGCAACCCCAGGAGGGGTGTGGGCAGCAGGCCGCCCACCTCAGCAGAGAAACCGCCAGGCCTGGAGTCTGAGAAATTCCACCTGGTCTACCGATTCAACTCCATCAGAGCCTGTGGGTACATGTCTCGGCTGAAGCTGGCACAGACCGCCCTGACAGTGGCAGCGTTGCCCCCGTCCTTGTACTGGCACTCACAGGGCCTCATAACGCACACCTCCATGTGCTTGGCGTTTGGGGTCGCTGGCTTTGCCCTGACCATGCTCTACTGGATGAGCTATTTCTTCCGGAGGCTGGTGGGTATCCTGTACGTGAATGAGTCTGGCACCGTACTGCGGGTGGCCCACCTGACCTTCTGGGGCTGGCGGCAGGATACATACTGTCCTGTGGAGGATGTGGTCCCCCTGACAGAGACCCCGGACCGGCCCCAGGATCTGTTCATACGCATCCAGCAGTACAGCGGGAAGCAGACCTTCTACCTCACCCTGCGCTACGGACAAGTCCTGGACAGAGAGCGATTCTCACAGGTGTTTGGGACACTGGCCAAACTCAAGTGAACAGCATGGGAGTGGGGGGGGGGGCTAGGTCTCTGGGGCCTTGCCCTGGGCTTCCTGGATCTCTGACAAGGCTGATGCAGGGGGTCTTGGGACTCATCTTGAGATGAAGAAATTTACAAGGCTTAGGGAAAGGCCCTTGCAAGGAAAGGGCGGGGGGGGGGGGGGGGGTTGAGTCTTAAACACACCTGTTCACAACATGATCAGGTAATGTCCAGAAGTTCCTGTGAAGTAGGTGGAGGAGGAAGGGAGGCCAAATTCACTTCACTGATAGCCTGCTACCAAGAAAATAAAGGCTGGGGTGTGGAGGCAGAATCTGGAGTCAGGAGACTTCAGAGACTGAGTCAGAGGCTCCTTGGGCTGGGGCAGGGCCTGCCTGCCTGCCTGCCTGCCTGCCTGCTTTCCTCCCTCCCTCCCTCCCTTGCTCCCTTCTTCCCTTCCTTCCTTCTTTCCTTCCCTCTTTTCTTCCCTTCCCTTCATGCCTTTCCTTTCTTCCCTCCCTCATTCCTTCCTTGGCTTTAACTCAGAGCCATGCACTCTTGCTTTTATTTTGCAATTAAGGCTGATGCTCTACCACTTGGGCCATATCTCTACTTCTGGCTTTTTGCCAGTTAATTGGACTTTTTTGTCTTGGCCTGGCTTTGAACTACAATTCTCAGATCTCAGCCTCCTGAGTAGCTAGGATTACAGGTGTGTACCACCAGTACCTGGCTTGAGTATTGTTTTTCACCTCTATAGATGCTTGGCTCATGGTAGTGTAGCTCAGTGGTAAGGGACCTTTGCCCAGTACCCAAGAGATCCTGACTTCCATCCCCAGCACTACAAAGCAGACAAACAACGAATGCCACATGCTTTGCAGACCAGAAGCCTTAGCAAACTCTGAGCCTTTGGCCCGAGGTTATGGCATGGAGGGAGGTATTCTGGTGGTCAGAGCCCTGGGCTGGGCACCACATGGTGCCCACAGCAGAAGGGACTGGAGGGAAGCCAGAGTGTGTTTGTTACATGGGTCAGGATGTTACTGGGGCAGTGATGTCATTCACAGGAATCCCAAACCCCAGCCGAGAGTCCGGGGTCCAAGTACTGTTGCATGTCTTATGAATGAAAGACAGTCACACACACTTCCCCATACGTGCTGATTGTACAGTTTGTACCAGGGTAAAGAGAAGACCTGATCTTTCTAATTTTGTCATTCAAAAGTTGACAAGTAAATATTTCGTGTGTAACCTTCCAGCCTTTATTATTATTATTAACATTCTTTTAACATTTTAAAATGGACAGTTCAAGGACATGGAGCACATGGAGAGTGTTGTACCGCCATTACACAATCCATTTCTAAAACTTTCCCATCCTCCAAACAGATCTGCCCGTCTAACAGTGCTCTCTCCACCCCCCAGCGCTGGGCGGCCATTGATCTGCTTTCTGGTTGTGTTTGCTGAACCACATTCTCCTGTTCCTGCGTTCCTTTCTGTGTTTGGTTCCTTTCTGTGTTTGAGCCACTAGGGCCTGGTGAAAAAGTGATGTTTTACAGTAATCACAGTAACATGAAAGATGCTACATTGTCTTCCTTAATTTACCTCACTTCAGAGAAGTGAAGAAAGCATATAAATCATGGCAGTTTGTTCCTGTGACTTCCAAGTCACTCAGTGATGCTGCCCTAAACCCCAAGAACATCTGCCCCATGCCTGGCACTGGTTTAAAAAAAAAAAGTGCCAGTGAATCGCACCTGTCATCCTAGCTACTCAGGAGGCTGAGATCTGAGGATCGAGGTTCAAAGCCAGCCCAGGCAGGAAAGTCCATGAGACTCTTATCTCCAATAAACCACTAAAAAACCGGAAGTGGAGCTGTGGCTCAAGTGGTAGAGTGCTCGCCTTGAGCTGAAGAGCTGAGGGACAGTGCTCAGGCCCTGAGTTCAAGCCCTACAACCATTAAAAAAAAGTTCTATCCAGGTGCTAGTGGCTCATACTTGTAATCCTAGTTACTCAGGAGGCTGAGATCTGAGGATCATGCTTTGAAGCCAACCCAGGCAGAAACATCATGAGACTCGTCTCTGATCACACAAAGCCAGAAGTGGAGCTGTGATTCAAGTGGTAGAGCACTAGCCTTGAACAAATGAAGCTTAGGTACAGAGCCCAGGCCCTGAGTTCAAGCCTCAGAACTGGCCTCTGTGTGTGTGTGTGTAGCTTTCACTGATTCACTGATTGTCTTTGGTGGGGGTGGGGGGTTGGGGGTTGGGGCGGAGGTTGTTGAATAAATTCTTGTAATTACAGGTCAGAGACTGAGGCAGAGTGGAGGGACAGACAGGACAGGCCCAGTGGCAGGGACAGGAAGCCACTGACCCGACATGGAAACGGAATGAGGTCACCAGAGGAGCCAATGTGTTTTTTCTGTGCTGGACAAGAACTTGGCTCAGCTGTTAAGACCAGGACCTTGAATCATATCCTAATCACAAAGGGAAGCGTTGGAAAGTTGGAGAAAACTGAAAGACAGTTTTGAGACTTTTTTTTTTCTTCACGGGCTTGAACTCAGGGCCTGAGTGCTGTCTCTCAATCACTCAAGGCTGGTGCTCTACCACTTTGAGCCACAGCTTAGTTTTCTGGTAGTTAATGGGAGATAAAGGTCTCACAGACTTTCCTGCCTGCACTGGCTTTGAACTGCGACCCTTAGCTCTCAGCCTCCTGAGTAGCTAGGATGACAGGCGTGTGCCACCAGCGCCTAGCTTAGTTTTGAGACCTTTTAAGAATGAGAAGAAACAGTTTTTCAAGTTTACTCATTTTGAGTTCAAGATCTATCAACAGGAAAGCCAGGCATGGTGGTTCACACTGTAATCCCAGCTTTGGGAGGCTTCCTTAAGCGCCTAGTCCAAACCCAAGTGCTGCCAGAGACTCTGGGCCAGGCAGTCAGAGTGGCTCAGCCACTTGGAAAGCAGAGCTTGATTGGGAGGATCGCAGATTGAAGTTCAAGGCTGGCTGGTTCAAAGCCAGCCTGGGCAGAAAAGTTTGTGAGACTCATCTCTAACTAAACAAAACGAGAAGGGCTGGAGGCATGACTCAAGTGATAGGTGCTCAGCTAAACAAGTGGGAGGCCCTGAGTTCTAATCCTAGTAAAGTCCCCCTCCAAAAAAAATTATCAAGAGGACATGGGTGACAGATCTACAGGAGGATTTGTTTTAGTTGTTCCTTTTTTTTTTTTTTGGCTAGAACCTGGGGCTTGCACTCAGGGCCTGGGCACTGTCCCTGAGTTTCTTTTGCTCAAAGCTAGCGCTCTACCACTTGAGCCACCATGCCACAAGGGTGCCTGCACACTTGTATGCTGGAGCACTTGCTCTCGGAAGTGAGAACACATCCTCACCAGCATGGCCAGCAGAGGGCAGTGTGAGCAAGCGCATTATTCCTTCTCACTCCTCAAGGGTTAGGCCTTGTGTAACACCCCTGGGAGTATTAAATAATAGTAGTAGTAGTAGTAGTAATAGTAATAGAGTACCCGGGAGCTATTAACAAAAAATGAGCTGGGTGCTGCTTGGGAGGGTTTGAGCTGAGGATTGCAGTTCAAAGCCAGCCTGGGCAGGAAAGTCCATGAGACTCTTTATCTCCAATTAATCACCAGAAAACCAGAAGCGGTGCTGTGGCTCAAAGTGATAGAGTGCTCTCCTTGAGCAAGGGAACACAGGAACAGTGCCCAGGCCTTGAGTTCAAACTCCACAACTGGGAAAGCACACACACACACACACACACACACACACACACACACACAAAACGGAGCTGGGTGGGCACTGGTGGCTCACACCTATAATCCTAGCGACTCAGGAGGCTGAAATCTAAGGATTGTGGTTCAAAGCCATCCTGGGCAGAAAAGTTTGTAAGTCTCATCTCTAATTGAGCAAGAAAGCTTAGAGACAATGTCCAGGGCTGTGGACACACACACACACACACACACACACACACACACACGAATGACCCATATCTGCTTGCTGATGGGACAGAAGCATAGGTGTGTGTAATCTTATTTGTACTTTGTAAAACATAAATAAACAATTATAAAGCAAACTTCGCAAATTAAGTTGGCGCCCCCTGGGGTGAGCCTTGGGGCTGAGGTCGGGGAACAGGAGACAGGAAAGCCTTCTTCCAACTTTATCCCCTTCTCATAGTGCTTAAAATGTTCGTGAGCATGCGTCGTTGATCTTAACCAATGGAGAACGGGGCCACACTCCACAGTCTCTCCTTTCCCTTCTCTCTGGTGCGAGCTTTCTAAGGAGAGAATTCCACAGTCCTGGATTTCCATGTGTTCGGGACTCAGCTGCTTGAGAACGTGTTAGGAAATGCGCAGTGGTTGATCAGCACTGGTGACGTCATCGCGCTTGTCCTTGCGTGGCAGTCCTCCAGGCTATGTGCTCTGTGGCTGAGACACGAGCAGAGTGGTCTACAGCCTTTCCGGCTTCCACCTCGTTGCCATGGAAGGTGGGGTGAGATTTGCTCAGAAGCCCATGAGAACAGCTGCCCTTCCTACTGTTACCAGAATGAGACTTGGCTCACCCTCAGGCCGAGTGTCCATCCCAGCCCCCAGCCGATCATTAAAACCCCGGGGTTCATGCATTCTCATTGAGAGTCCAGCGGGCCTGTTTGCTCCTATGGGTCAGGCAGAGATGAATGACCCACACAACAGGCTGGGGCTGCTCATTTGTTACTGTCTCAGGACTTCGGGATGTGCCAGTTCGTAAATGGAAAAAGCAACAGGGTCCCTCAGAGCCCCAGGCAGAGTCCAACTTTTATGGCCTTGTTTTGATCCTGCCCACGTTCAGTTATAAAACCCTGCTTGATTCGAGTTAATCAGGCAGAGCCTATGCCCGATACCATCTGGCCCTGTTTGCACCAACTCTGGGGACAAAGCAATCCTTTTTTTTTTTGTTAAACTGACGAATGGTTTAAATACCCTGGCACCAGTTAGGCTGAGACCTGTAGTGGAAAAATAGACTGAATCCTTCAGTGGAAATGGCAGTCAGGTGCCGTGGTGGCTCATGCTTGTAATCCTAGCTCCTCAGGAGGCTGAGATCTGAGGATTGAAATTCAAAGCCAGCGCAGGCAGGGAAGTCCATGAGACTCTTATCTCCCAATTAACCACCAAGAAAGCTGCAAGTCGAGCTGTGCCTCAAGTGACAGAGCACCAGCCTTGAGTGAAAAGGGCCCTGAGTTCAAGCCCTTTAGAACACACACACACACACACACACACACACACACCCCAGCAGGTAAAACATGCCATGTGTACCAGATTTCCTGTTCTCTCGACTGCCAGCCTGGCCACTGCCCATGTGGGACCTGATAGAGCTTGTATAAAGGAAGAGAGCCTTCCTTTCTTTACTGGTGATCACAACAGCCCCTCCTGTTGGGAGGACTAAATGACTGACCAAATAAAAGCCCTTAAACATAGCATT